GGTGCGTAAGTTTATAGCTTAAGGTGCGTCATTTTCTAGTTTAAGGTGCATCAGTTTAACTCTTACAGGGCGTTTGGTTGGAGAGAATTTAAATTCCCTTCCCACTTAATTCCCACCTAATTCCAAAAAGCCATAAAATTTCTTAGTTTGGTTGGAAGGAATTGTAATTCCCCCATTTTCATGGAATTAAAATCTCATGTCCCCCCCTGGGATTTTAATTTTTAGGATTTTAGGAAGAAAAAAAAGCTAGTGATGAGACAAAATTACCCCCCACTTTTTTAAATCTAAAATTAATACCACAACAACAATGAGCATTTTGGACTTTATACTACTTATTCCCTTTCAATTCCCATGTATACCAAACATTGGAATTGAAATTCCCAATAATTCTATTCCTGTAAACCAAACACTAGAATTTAAATTCTCACTTTATTCCCAGTAATTCATCTCCCATGGAATTGCAAATTGCAATTTCTTTCCCACGTAATTCCCCCCCTCCAACCAAACGCCCTGTTAAGGTGCGTATGTTTAGAGCTTAAGGTACATTATTTTTCAGCTTAAGGTAAGTCAATTCGAGACACTTGATCATTTACCTCCATGTTGTCAAGAAACACGACTTCTTCTTTTTTTTAAAAAAAAAATCTTTAATTTGAACGTTGATCTAGATTAAATCAACGGCTCAAATCTCAATTCAATTTATACATGTGACAAGCTTTGCGCAGACGTTATGCCATGGAACCGTGTTCACCATTCATGGTGAACACGGTTCTAACGGTGTTAGTACACCGTTATCTTTTTTTTTTTTTTTTTTTTAATTAATTGCGTGACTTTTCTTCTTTATTTTCACATTTTGCGATTTCACTTTAATTTGAGGTGAACAAAGATTTCGGACATTCATAAATTATGAATTCATGCCTGTACATTCACTTTGGAACCATGCCTACACATTCCCGTCCGAAATCACGGACATTCATAAATTATGAATCCATGGCTGCACATTCACTTTGGAACCATGCCTACACATTCACTTTGGAACCATGAGATTATGAATTTTCTGTTATAAGATTATGAATTTTCTGTTATGAGATTATGAATTTTCTGTTATGAGATTATGAATTTTCTGTTATGAAATTATGAATTTTCTGTTATGCGATTATGAATTTTCTGTTATGCGATTATGAATTTTCATTACATTCATAATTTCGGACACTCATAAATTATGAATTCATGCCTGCACATTCACTTTAGAACCATGCCTACATATTCCCGTCCGAAATCACGGACATTCATAAATTATGAATCCATGGCTGCACATTCACTTTGGAACCATGCCTACACATTCACTTTGGAACCATGAGATTATGAATTTTCTGTTATAAGATTATGAATTTTCTGTTATGAGATTATGAATTTTCAGTTGTGAGATTATGAATTTTCTGTTATGCGATTATGAATTTTCTGTTATGAGATTATGAACTTTCATAAAATTCATAATCTCATAACAGAAAATTCATAATTTGATCAAACGCGCGCCGTTAATTCCACATCTGCGAAATTTTTTTTTTTTGACCTAAAAACGACGTCGTTTTGCCTTGTGTTCACCATTCTCGGTGAACACGATTCCATGGCATAATTTGCGAGCTTTGCGTGAACCATCCCTAGTAAGCCCATGAAATTGGATTTTGGCGGGCCAGGTCAAGTTGAATGAGCGGGCCGGGTTTTGGGGAAAACAGCGAGACAGGTTGGAGTTGGTGGAGGTCACATCTCAGAAAGTTGCAACTATGAGGCGGAAAGTGATACGTATATTTTCCAAGTTCCAAGCAGCACAGGCTCCCCCGATTTTCCGCGAATGCGGTTTACCAGATGCCCCGATTCCAACGTATGTGGCGACACGATAGCGTGAGTCCAATGCCATTTAGTAACATTCGATTCGTTGCCCCCCGACCTCTCTCTTTGTATTCCCACCTTATCCGTGCCTGTCATTAATATTTAAAAAATGGGGTAACGTACCCTATAACTTATCCGGTGGTGGAGTAATGCACTAATTCAATGTTGTTCATCATCAACTCCCTAAATTCATCCACGTCTTTTGATTTTTTCATCATCATAAATTAAATATATATTATTCCTCGTCATAATTTCACCTTCAATCCTCACGCACTATTTATAGATCTACAAAATATAAAAACTTTTGTATTGATTTGTTACTCACCCCACCACAAATTAATCCGAAATATTATTATTTTTTAAATGATGCGATAATTAAATACAAAATAAGTATGTAATGACACATCAGGATGAGATGTAACAAAATGGTAAGTAGCGTTTGGTTAAAATAATCAAGAAATGGAGAATATTTATAATATTAAAAGATTACATTGTATTACTATAATTCTATGTTTCTAATGAAGAAACATCATACATATATATAGAGACACAAAACTCATAAGCAACCACATATTCATGAACAAACACAACCATTTATTTTCAACAAAAACATCCTCAAGAGTCTTTACATGTGGAGTCGATATGAGTCGTTTACTTCATTTATCTGTTTTTTCATTTCTCTAATTTTTTAAATTTCATTATCTATTTCTCTAATTTTATATTTCTTTAATTTTATAATTTCATTTTACAAATTCAGTTTTTAATTTAAAAAATTTTCAATACACTAATACTAAATATGAATAATGCAACAAAAGTTAATAAAAACATATTACTAAATAAATTGTAACTATTTCAATTACGTGAAGGGGAGAAAATGGAGGTAACTGTAACTGTGCACGAAAAGAGAGAAATTGGATAATATTATAAAATAATTAGACCTTTTAACATGAAGTGCGCGCGCGAGCGTGCACACACACATCACAAATAATTTTGTAATTACTTTCTTCACATAAATAAAAATAAATAAAATTCTATACACTAATACTAAATCTACCAAAGGTAACAAAAGTCAATAAAAATATATTACTAAATAAATTACAACTATTTCAATCATTTTGTTATATAATTTGATTACAAAACAAAATACGAAAAACCTCATTTATACGATTACAATCACCCCATATAGAATTTGTACATTTTTTCAATAATAATAATAATAATAATAATATATTCCTTAAATCTGTATCTCTGTAATTAAGTTCATTCAACAATTCTCATCATGAACAACAAAATAAACTTATTTTTAATGGTCTTGTTTGGTAACATAGTTAACTTATTAGCCAATTTTGGCTTATTATCACTATAAACTTTTTTGACTTAGTTAAATATATCAATATAAGTGTTTGATTAATTAGTTTTTTATAACAACTTATTGCTCTAAAATGCTAGAATTCAAAAAACTACTCAAAGAAACTTTTTCGATCGAATTTTTGAAAAAATTATTTTGTATGTAATCAACTACCAGCTAACATCTAATTTATCAAATATTTTTTACAATAAGTTAATATTATCAACTACTCAAACTCATTAATCTAATCAGTTAACAATATACTTATTCTATATAAGATATACTGCGTATTATGCAAATCAAACATGCCATAATAAATATATATAGAGAGGTTTTAAAGTCCATCTAGCTGTCCAAAATTCGGTAAAATATTTTGTTCGCGAATTTTGAGCTAAAATTGATTTAAATACTGAATGGTGCATCCTCTTTTGAATTCATAATTAAAACGAGTGATTAGGAATATATATATGTATATTTTTTTTCTTCTTCAACAAAAAAAAAAAAAAAAAAAAAAAGAAAGAAGGAATATAATAAAGAATGGGGTGTAGACGTCCAAACACGTACAATATCATAGTCAACATCAATCTTGAGCTACATCTCGTGAAAATAGAGTCTACCCATCGGACGGTGCTGGCTGGATCACATTTCGGCAGCCACGTAGGTGCTGATTTAACATTACTCTCATGAAGTCATGACTTTCCCCCCTCGTGAATTTCTGCCGTTTTTGGAAAATTATAATGTGTTCAGTAAATATAACTTTTATTATTATTATTATTATTAAATATATAGAAAAATGAAGAATTACAGATAGAAAATGAAAATTCAAGTCCCTGAAATAGCTCAAGTGGTAAATCACTTAATTTAAAGTTAATACCCTAACAGTAGGGTTGAGGTTTGACTCCAACTAATAATATCTTGGAACTAGGGCTACTTAGACTAGAGTTTGGGTCTTTGGGCTCCCCAAATTGACAATGTTGAGTATATAATCATTAATGTGCAATTCAACTATCAGCTTATACTTTTAGTTGAGATGGAGCACATGTTTCAATTTGGTATCAGAGCCATGTCAAAGACTATGATTCACGTGGGCGTGTGCATATAATGACAGAATGGTGGACTGAAGCCCGCACGGGTTTAGCTCAATGGTTTCAGTAGGTACTATTTGGGAAAAGAGACCAAGGTTCGAACTTCGACGGCGGTAGTGTGGGAATTATGTTCAAAGTGGACAGATTTCTTGTGCGCACCGGCATTTGGCCATATCCACTGAACCCATTGGGGGTCACGGACCGGGGTGTGGGAGGCTCTTGAAAGATTGCTTGGTAACTTGCGATTTACTTCCATCAATGACTCATGTGAAAGATTTTAGGATTTAGAAATTTGAGTTTAGACTTGAGATCAAGAGTTTAAAAATTGGAGCTCTAATCCACCTCTTTAGTTACATATAGTTCAAGAGCAACTCAACAACTTACGAGTTAAATAATCTTAAATTTAAACTCAACTCAATTACTTAAAGGAGTTTAACTTAATCTCAAATTTTACTTAATTCGGATTAAATTTTGACAGATCAACTTGCGAGCTACCTCTCCCTTGACCACGATATGATATATTGCGTCAATAATTACTCGGGAATTCCCTAAATCGATGCGAATATCCGTCCACGGTACATCATATTATCCTATGATGAATAGTGTGCGTTACTAACTCGTATTGCAATATATCGCGATAAATTAATATCTCAAGCGAGGGACCTATAAATACCACCGATATCGATTATTCAAACGCATAATAAACGTCGAAATACCCCAAAAGAAAGGAAGTCTATATTCATTGATTCATAGCTTTCATCAATGGCGTTCAAGAAAGATCTAGCTCAACGCCTGTTCAATGTCTACAGCCGATTTGGTAGCCCGTCTCTGTTAGATTGCCGGATTTCGACTTCGGCAGTCTCCGTGAAAACTCGGATACCGCCGGGTCCCGAGAAAATCGCCCCAGATCCCGGAGACGATGGAATATTCCGTCGGTTCATCCACCGCCGCCCGATGCACCAGCCGACGGGGCTATCCTCCGACCTCCCGTCGTTTCCGATCGGAGATAAGCTGCTGGAGAATCTCCGCGGTATGGATATTTCCAGAGATCGGATCAGACTCGACGGTCTCATCCCGCCGCCGTTGAAATCCGATTCCGTGCCGGAGCCGGCCGGCGGTAGCCTGTCGTTGTCGGATGTGAGAAAGCTGCTCCGGTTGTCGCAGCTTGAGACGGTGAAATCGAGGCTTAGGGCAACCGAACAGAACCAGATTTCGTACCCGGAGTTTTTCCGGATCTGTGCCCAAGTCTGTTCCAATAACGACCAAACCCTAGAGCTAGCAAAGATGCTCGACGATTCCGGAACGGTAATCGTTTTGGGAAACGTGGTTTTCCTCAACCCTAATCAGGTTAGTTACCATTCACCTCCCTGAATCTCTCGGAAAAGTTCTATCATACCAAACAATAAAAATTAAAATAATTCATATAAATATTATTTTCATTTATAATAGTTTTTTTTTAATATTTGTTAGGAACACGCAAACTTCATTATCTTTTTTGAGCAATTGTTATATGGTCCTACGAGTATAGTATAGTAATTTTGTTAAAATTTAGTCTTAAATTTTCAAATTAATCACTAATGTTTCGACTTTCAAATTGTATCATCCGTACTCTAAGTTGTCCGGTCATCCCACTATTAAATTTTAACCATCCAGGATCACCACTGGTTAAATTTTAAAAGTGGGCGGACTGGACAATTTGGATCATGAGTGGCAACAATTTGAAAGTTGAAGTATTATAGTGATCAATTCAATTTATTTAAAAATTTAGAATTAAATGTGACAAAATTATCATACTCGGAGGATTTTACATGACATTAAACTCTTTTTTCTTATTGTTTTGTTGAATTGGAGACTACCGAAAACTGATGGGTTTATCTATTGTGTGTTTTTTTCCCATGTTTCTTCCACAGGAAAGTGAACCAAAAACGAGATGGTGATTTTTATTTGGGAGTGGATCACACGGATTGTTTTTACTAATATACCCTCTCAAAAACACCCTCTTTCTCCCCCTCCCCCACCCAAAAAAAAAACAATCTTTAATTGTTTGTTACATCATAGATATCTACATGACATTAGGAACACCAATCTTTTACGTATGATTTTCCTAATTCTTGATATTTTTAGACGTTTTCTTTGGGTTTTCTTCTTTAAATCCAAGTTTTGTGGAGTCACAGCTGTCTTAATTTTACGTAAGAAAAGTCTATAAATTGAAGTGTATGAAATGTATAGTCAAATATAATGTACAAAGTAGGGGCTGGGAAGGTGGTACAAGGGCCCCACCCGGCCGACATTCAATTTATTTTAGTCTTTTTTGGTACACGAAATTTTCAAAGTAATCTTTCTTTTTTGTTGTTGAGCCAACCATTATTAATGTATAGTGTCACAATTAGTAATTAAAATAAAGGCCTCTATAGTGAGCCAACGCTTTACCCAAATTTTTTGTGGACATTTTTTTTTTGGTTATTACAGGTGGTGAAGGCTATCCAAAGCCTGATCCCGGCGACGACGGCGTCCAAGACGGAGCCGGAGAATGCGAGGGTGAAGGAGTTGGAAGAGATGGAGGAGAAGAAGGCGGCGATTGACCGGAAGGCGGAGGCGCTGGTGAGGAGGGAGCTGTGGGGAGGGCTGGGTTACTTTGTGGTGCAAACGGCGGCGTTCATGAGGCTAACATTCTGGGAGCTGTCGTGGGATGTGATGGAGCCGATTTGCTTCTACGTCACGTCTGTGTATTGCATGGCTGGGTATGCCTTCTTCTTGAGGACGTCCCGTGAGCCCTCTTTTGAAGGGTTCTTTCACAGCAGGTTTATTGCGAAGCAGAAGCGGCTAATGAAGGCTCAGGGGTTCGATTTGGTTAGGTATAATGAGCTCAAGAAATCAGCTTCTTCTTCCCCTCCGCCCCCCGCCTTGCCTGCCCAGGAGAAATTCAACTCGTTTTGTTCTTAATAGATAGATTTCATCAATCATCATACAACGTTTTAGGATCGCAGAAAAAACAAAAGAGATAACAAGTATAACCATGATAACCTGATTTTTTCTTTCTTTTCAATATTTCCTTAAATCGGAGGGAAATCAACTTTCTAAGAGTGTATACTAAATCCATCCAAGAAGTAATCTAAGTTTGGTGTCCTCTCATGACTCAAGTTCAATTATGTATTAGAACCAGTTTAGCGTAATTTGAAAAACCAACTGTATCAAAAAAAATTGGGGTTATTGAATTATACCTAAATAAATGTAATTGGCTAACTTAATTAAACAAAAATTGCAATTAGGTTTTTGAATGGTTCAAAATTATACGATTTAATCAAAATCAGGTTATTGATATAAAAAATAATTTATTAATAGAATACCAGTCATGTCATAAGAGGGATGCAAGTTAATTTAATTGCATTTTTGCGATAGTTTCGGTGGATAATTTGAATAATTTTTTTAAAATAAAATTATGTAGTGAGATGAGGACGGTGACGCGTCAGACAACTGGCAATCACACGTTTTTTTTTTATTGGTTTCTGACAATATTCCAATTTTGTTTCATAGGCTGGCATTAATTAGATGGTTCGTCCCCCCATTCTGACCTCAAAGTTGAATGGCTCTTTCCCAATAAAAATGGGATTACGGAAAAGAAAAAAAAAAAAAACACAAAATTGACAAGGATGTGTGCGGTTGCTATTGCGATACTTCGTACGCATTATTTGTATTCTTCCAATTATTGACTAATTAAAAAAAAACATGAGAATATATAGATCAGTTAACCTGAATATAATCAATGAATATGAAAATAGAAATAAAATGTTGTTAAATAATGTTTATATTAGAGTTAATACTCAAAATAGTCTCTCGACTATGTCGTAATTACCAATTTGGTTCTCGACTATCATTCTTACCCAATTAAGTCCTCAACTATACAAATTTTACCCAATTTAGTCCTTTGTCAATTTGACTGTTTGTTGACTGTCAAAAGTGGAAATAAAGTTGTAATTTTACAAGTTTTCTCCTTCCTCCTCATTTAGCAGCGCCAAACCATGTAGAAATAAGCTCCGGTTGGGTTCTAAACCTGTCAGTATTGAAGTAGTGGTTATGCATCGGATAGCCCATGAATTTGATTTCCTACGATTTTTTGACAATCGAAATCTGATCGGAGTGTATTGTTGCATGGTTTGGCGCTGCTAAATGAAGAGGAAGGAGAAATCTTGTAAAATTATAATTTTATCCCGACTTTTGACAGTCAACAAACAGTCAAATTAATACAGAGGACTAAATTGGGTAAGAATTGTATAGTTGAGGACTAAATTGGGTAAGAATTGTATAGTTGAGGGCTTAATTGAGTAAAAGTTACATAGTTGAGGACTTAATTGGGTAAGAATGATAGTTGAGGACCAAATTGGTAATTATGACATAGTCGAGGGACCATTTTGGGTATTAACTCTTTATATTATTATTGATTATTGATTCATGTCTTTTAGCATTTCATTTTAAAACAAATTTTTTACTTTTACTACAAAATACAATCAAGGCAACATTTCATCAACATTCATAAAAGTGTATCGGATTGATAGTTTTTTAATTAAATCTACCACAAAATTGGATAATTAGAGACAAAATTGACAACAAAAATAATAAAGGAATAAGGTTTAAATTGGCCACTGAACGTAACCTGAAAATGCAATTAGGCCACTGAACAAAAAAAAAAAGTGCAATTAGGCCACTGAACACTCCAAATGTTTGCAATTTCACCTGATAGCATGTTATCATCAATTTTAGCAAGTTACCTGCTTACGTGGCAGCTGAGTTGGCATTTTTAATAATTTTTAAATAATTTTTTATAAAGTTTAATAATAAAGTTTAAAAAAAAATTTATTTAAAACAAATTTTATTTTTTTTAAAAAAATTTATTTATTTATTTTTTTTCAATTTTTTTAATAAAAAAATTATTATTAAAAGTTATTAAAAATTATTAAAAATGCCAACTCAGCCGCCACGTAAGCAGATAACCTGCTAAAATTGGTAACCTGCTATCCGGTGAAATTGCATACATTTGGAGTGTTCAGTGGCCTAATTGCACGTTTTTGGGTGTTCAGTGGTCTAATTGAATCTTATTTTCGTTCAGTGGCCTAATTGCATTTTCAGGTTACGTTCAGTGGCCAATTTGAACCTTATTCCAATAATAAAATATAATTTAAACGCAAGGTCTTCATTCCTATAATTTAATACATGTTATAAAAATGGATGTATCATTGGAATTGCAGGAAAGTAATGTGAATATAGTATAAAGTAAAGAGAATACCATATACAGAGAGAATCATCAACTTTTTATTAATCATCTTTCAAATCCAATATTACAGATATACAGAGTTCTAGTATAATTATAATACTATAATGGATGAAGATGAATTATCACGATATAATACTTATAGTAATATCAACTTATATTTATTCAAAACAATACAGAGTATATGATAAGCTTACCCATCCTATTGGTTTCGTTCAGTGAATGCTGCTCCCTCCCACCCTTATTCAGAAGGGAAATTAATTAATTAACTAAAATTGTAAAAAAGATTCCTTAGAAAGCATTTACTAAACTTTAGGTATACCATACATAATACATTGAATCTATCTCGTAGGTTTGTCTATGGTTATTGTTTTTTACTGTGTTGTAATGCAACCATTTTCACTCTCAATTTTTGCCGTGACGGTGTAGGAATAGCTATAATAATGTCTTAAAAGATCATTAGATCCAATCTTACCTCATCATATTAGGAAAAAAAAAAAATCTTTTCTTTTTTATTTGTTCAAGTTTTAGGGTCTCTTCAAAAAGTCATATATCAATAAGATTATTTTTACATTATTGATTAGCAATTCATTTTTTTTTATTTGAAAAAGATTTTAAGGATAAATATTTTTTATATATTAAATAGAATAAAAAAAATCGAGTAGTGATGTTTAGTGGGCTTCCTAGCACGGGCTCACATGGGCCCAACATTGTAGTAGGGGCAAATTATGCCAATCATTATTGGTGGACCATGGTCTACACAGTTGTGTAGATCATACTATTAAATGATATATACATTCAATACACAAATAATGTATTTTTAATATATTAAAAATATACATTGTATTCAGGAAAAATATTTTATTTAAGTATTGAAAAGTAGCATTCAAAAAGTATTGAAAGTACATTATTTTGTATAATGTACATTCGATACCCCGAATAATATACTTTTAATATATTAAAAATATACATTTTATTATTGTCCACACATCACTGTGTGAACCATGGTCCACACAATATTTTGTCAAATTATGTTGTGCACCATTGATAGATGTTATTTTTTAATATACTTAAGGTTTTTTAATGTATTATACCAAAAAATAAATATGTAGTTCTTTTTTTTTTTTTTTTTTTTAACGACCATTGGAATTTTATTTTACCAAAAAAGAGGCAGAAGGCCTTACAACAAACGCCATTGGCCCTAAAGTGACCAATGGCTCACAAGGCAAAAAGCCATTACAAAACAAGGACCATAAAGGCCTAAACCAAGCACAAGGACCAAAATTGGTCTATCTACCACACAAGGGCCAGGCGTTATGCCATGGAACCGTGTTCATCATTCATGGTGAACACGGTTCCAACGGTGTTAGTGCACCGTTATTATTATTTTTTTTAATTAATTACGTGACTGCCTACACATTTACTTTGGAACCATGCCTACACATTCACTTTGGAACCATGAGATTATGAATTTTCTGTTATGAGATTATGAATTTTCTGTTATGAGATTATGAATTTTCAGTTATGAGATTATGAATTTTCTGTTATGCGATTATGAATTTTCTGTTATGAGATTATGAATTTTCATTACATTCATAATTTCGGAGTTCCGGACATTTATAAATTATGAATTCATGCATGCACATTCACTTTGGAACCATGCCTACATATTCCCGTCCGAAATCACGGACATTCATAAATTATGAATCCATGCCTACACATTCACTTTGGAACCATGCCTACACATTCACTTTGGAACCATGAGATTATGCATTTTCTGTTATAAGATTATGAATTTTCTGTTATGAGATTATGAATTTTCAGTTGTGAGATTATGAATTTTCTGTTATGCGATTATGAATTTTCTGTTATGAGATTATGAATTTTCATAAAATTCATAATCTCATAACAGAAAATTCATAATTTGATCAGTAACGCGCCGTTAACTCCACATCCGCGATTTTTTTTTTTTTTTTTGCCTTAAAACAACGTCGTTTTGACTTGTGTTCACCATTCTCGGTGAACACGATTCCACGGCATAATTTGCGCACAAGGGCCATAATGGCCTAAAAGCAACAAAAGCAAAAAACCCTAACTACAAAGGGCCAAGAGGCCTAAAGACTCATCAAGAAACAATGAGGTCCACCCATCTTGGCGGACCTCCCTTATACCCCCATAAGACATGGAATATCATTTTCCATAGTAGAATCAATTCCATGGCAAAATTAGGCTCTACTTTAATAAGTTTTGCTATAATGCACCATTATGCTCATGTCCGTCCATGCTTCCAAAGCAGCCACACGGGAATTAAATTCCCCTTCTCAGCAGATTAGCCCAGCCGAACGGCCCAGCCTAGACAAGGCCCAACTTGATCCCAAGCCCATTCGGCCAAACCTTATTCTCTCCCAATCATCAAATAAATCAAATAAAGCCCAAGCCTTATTTAATTATGGCCTTCAGAATTAAATTTCTATCTTCCAAGAGGCCATTCGGCCTTCAGCCTTAATGGGCCCTCTTTATCCTTATCCTTATCCTTCTGATGGCCCTCCTTATCCTTCCTTTTCCCAACCAGAACCAGAGGTTCATCAAGGTAGATGAACCTCCCTTATGCCTCCTTAGGGCCTCACATATGAGCTTCTGACAGCTCCTTCAGCTTGTTTAAGTATAGGCTCTTTGTTTTCTCCACTATTTCTTCCTTTCTTCTTTCAAACTCCTGCATTCCCATTTCCTTCTTTAGGTTTGACATATGTGCAGTTATCTCCAACTTAGCCTCTTCCCAGGTTTTCTTCTTAACTACAAAGGCTCTATGATCCATAATCTCCATGTTTTGGCTGCTACCCATGTCCTTAGATGATCCTGAGCTTTCAATTAGATGTACTGGGCTACCTTTTCCAGGTTTTCCAGTAACATTAATCTCCCTCCTACCCCTCATTGGGCTCCCCATCTCCTCCACCAAGCTTCTAACTTTCCCTTGAACATTTGCCAGCTTTTCCATGAAGATTTTATTAGCCTTCTGTACCAACTCCTGCTCTTTTTCCTGAAATCTTCCCTCTCCTAACTCAACTTGAGCATGTTTAAGAAAATGTTTAAGAAAATTTAGTGAAATATGTAGTTCACTAAATTTTTTTTAATAAATTAAAAATGAACATTTTTTTGAAAGCAAAAAAATAAACATTTAATATACTAAAATGAACTTTTATATGATAGTTGTCCGTCTTGTAATGTAGACCATTGTCCACATTCTATAATATAATGAATGTGTAGTAGGGACCCGCATGGGCAGCTCAACTGGTCACAGAGGTGAAACTTTGAAAAAATGACCAGTGATCGAGTCTCACCAGCGACAGTGTGGGAGCAACCTCTAAAAGTGATGGGGGTTCATTGTGCGCTTCATTTGCCTTTGGAAAAATGAATGTGTAGTAGGTTATGCCAACTCATTTCAAATTTTAGAATCTTAAACTAATTCATCCAACTTAATTTATTATAAATTTAAATTAATAAATGTAGAATTTTGTAAGTTTATAAATGATAATTTAGACTTTTTAAAATTTTAATAAAAATTATAAAATTTTAAATATATAGAATATTTACACAATTATTAAATTATATATTATTTATAAATTTATTAAGTTGAAATTTATACTTTAAAAATGAGAGAATTATAATTTTGAAGAGTATAACTTTTAGAAATTGAAAATAATACAACTTATAAAGTCAATTTTAAGCTACAAGATTAAAAAGTAAAATAAAATAATAATATAGAATATGGTGGGGAGTCGTAGCAGGTAATTTTTTTATGAATCATGATTAAAATGTACATTTTTAATATAATAAAGATACATTATTTATATCCGAATATACATTATTTGATAATATATAAAATAGTATATCCTCAGTATTTAAATAATATTATTTATATACAAATAATATATATTTAGCATATTAATTTATGGTCACTGGAATAATATAATGATTCGTCATAGCATCGCCCCGTTAATCAATTGTGTAGTGTAAATGAATTAAAAGGAGAGTATTACTTGTTATACCATGGACCAGAATTCATCTTATAAGGTGGACCTTATTTTTAATTGTGTATTTTTAGTATTGGAATTGTGAATATCTAGAATATAAATTGTGTTTTTAAGTTTTGAGAATTTGTGAATACAATACAGAGCCACCACAAATTGTGAATTCTTTTTCTTTTTTTTTTTTTGAAAGAAATTGTGAGTTTTTTAAAAGGTAAATTATGTATCTTTGAACCCGGGTTTACCTTGCATGCTATACCCGGGTCCACAGAATAATTTGCCGGAAAGTATTGGGTATTGCTCAGCAAATTATGCTGTGGAACCGCGTCCACGTTGCAAGGTGGATACAATTCCAAAACTGTTCATAGTTATGAATATATAATTCTACAATTATGAACATAGAGTTGTGAACATAATTATGAACATATAGTTCTGTAATTATGAATATAGAGGTTCAATAATTGTGAATATGAAATTCAAAAAAATTATGAATATATAGCTTTATAATTATGAACATATAGTTCAGTAATTATGAACATAGAGTTCTATAATTGTAAATATGGAGTTCAATAATAATGAATATGAAGTTCAAAAATTATGAATATATAACTTTATAATTATGAACATATAGTTCAGTAATTATAAACATAGAATCGCAAGGTGGACACGGTTCGCAACTTTTCAAGTTGGGATTTAGCCTTTAGGCCCAATAATTGGTGATGTTATCCATGGAAAGCTTCATGGTTTTGTATACTTAAGATTATTATTAGGCTAATTAATTATACTCCGTAATATATTGCTTTCATAAGCCAACTTTAATGAGATGAATTTCATGGATTTGCTCAATTCTTATGGCCCGTAATATATATATATATACATACATACATATATATATATATATATATATATATATATATATATATATATATATATATATAAAGGAATTTCACTACGTGGATATATGGGAAATTATACAGTAGATCATGGTCAACGGCAAATTATTGTGCGGATGGATCACAATTCAAAACGATATCGTTAAATTTATGAGTTAAAATAATAAAATTTCGGGGATAAGATAATGTATTTTATGAGTTAGAATAATGTACATTATGAGTCATAAAAATGTATGTTGCAGTGTGTCGCGTGAAAAATAATTTATGTGAAACGACGTCGTTTTTTTTTTTTTTTTTTTTTGCCACTGCGTGGACCACATTCCACGCCCGCAATAACTATTGATGGTCAACATTGTAATGTAGGCAACTGATAAATGTTCATTTTTAATGTATTGAAGATTTTCATTTTTAAATAATATACTTTAAAATAAATCTTCAATGCACAAAAAAAAAAAAAAAAAAAACATTCGGTGAGTTTTTTTGAGGAGTTTTTCAGGACAAACGATCAAGAGCCGAAGAGGGAGTCGTGACTGTGCGGAACTAGGACAAATGGAAAATACATCAAACCCTAGAACTGGCATTAGATTTCTTGTATTTACATTAGGTTTCTTGTCTTATACTAAACTAATCCTAAGTTCAAAGAAACTCTGTCATTAGGCACGAGAAGAGGTAAAACGTGTTTTTAAAAAAAAAAGTTTTTGTGATATAATTAGATTTGTGTTGGTATTTAAAAAAAAAAAAAGAAAAAAAAAAGAGAGTGATTTGATTTTAGTCAAAATATAATATTTATTATTTTTAGTTGAAATGATGAGGAAATTTGCTAATAAAGAATGAAGGCAGGAGGTGTCGAAAGGATATTGAGTAGGAAGAAAATTGGTCTTGGACCAATTCTGCAACCACAGTGAGATGGAAAAGATAATATTATCCAAGTTAAAAAGGGGAAAAAATTTCATCTAAAATTGAACGGAGAATGCATGCACCGAAAGGACCAAATTCATTAATAAAGTAATAGTCGTGGACCAATTCTACAAGTTTTGAAAGTCGTGGATCAAAGTTTTTAGTGACAATATAGTCGTGTGACCAAAAGTGCAAAAAATTCAAATAGTACTTTAAGAGTGAAGATATTCATATATATCTATTTTCATTGCCTATACACTTTCTAAGAGCATCCTTATCTGTGAATATTTGAGAGATAATGGCAGAAATTATACTGACAAATTGGAGAGAGAGCGTATGAGAGAGAAGGATTGGGTTCAACTGCAAGGGGTGGGTTCTTGGAACAGTAGCATGGAAGTAGAGGTGTCAATGCGAGCCGGCCCGCCTCATTAGGCCCACCCCACCGCGGGCTTTTTATTTGGCGGGCTTTTGCGGGCTGGGCCGCGAAGCTCGCTGGCTTGGAACTATACAGCCCAAGCCCGCCCCGTGCGGGCTGGCCCGCAGGCCATCACTTAAATTAAAAAAATACATTAAATAGTATATAAACATGTTAAAACCGCTTAAAATATGACACTATTTATTGGTCGTTCTTTCGCATCCTCACGGTGTATGATACACCTCAATGCACCGGAAACTTCCATAAAATCCATAAACCTCGCCCAAATCCCCGGATCGATACCGCGCGTTGAGCAGAACTGTAGAAGGGTGATCAAAGCTAGGGTTCAACAACACACTCTATTTCTCTCTCGGCTTCAAATTTTCCCTCTACAGTTCCCGTTTGTGTATAATACATATATAAATATGTATGTTTGCTGGACGTGGAGGCGATTTAGTAATTCATAAATATGTATGAATTGATGATTTAGTTTTAGTAATTGTTTGATAGAGTTGGAGGCGGATGGAGACGGGAGAACCGAAGAACTACGTACTCTAAGAATTATTGAATTAAGAATTGGCGAACGATTATTGAATTATTGGATTTCTCCCCTTCTGCGTACTCATAGATAGTCAGATCTACACACTGCCTAAGAATTAAGATATTATATATATGGGTTTTTTTAAAAAAAAGATATTATATATATTATTTATTTATTTATTTTTTAAATATGGCTTGGCCCGCGGGCCGACCCGCAACCCGCGCGGGCTCTGGCCTTCCGCGGGCCATGCCCGTTAAGCCCGCATTTTCGCGAGCCTAATTTCTTGCGGCCCTAACCCGCCCCCGCCCTCGCCCCGCGGGCTTCGGCCCACTTTGACACCCCTACATGGAAGGCAAAGCTGAGAAAAAACATTGAATGTTATGCGCGTTTTGCGCACAGAAAGGCCACAACCGAGGCGCTTGACATGTACTTTAATTATATATATATATATATATATATATATATATATATATATATATATATATATATATATATATATATATATATAGGTTTAAGTTCCAGTGCGGGTGAATGCTTCCCGCGCGGTTGTGCGTGTGATTAATGTGCGTGAATTTTGTACTTAATGTGCGTGAGTCTTGTGCTTATTGTGCGTGAGGTTTGTGCTTAATATGCGTGACTGTGTAGTGCTTAATGTGCGTGAGTTTTGTACTTACGGTGTGTGAGTCTTGTGCCTAAGGTGCGTGAGTTGTGTGCTTAATGTGCGTGAGTGTGTACTTAATGTGAGTTGTTGTTGAAATTTTAAAGTGCGTGAGTTTTGTGCTTAAGGTGCGTGAGTCTTGTGCTTAAGGCACGTGAGTTTTGTACTTAATTTGCGTAAATGTGTACTTAATGTGAGTTGTTGTTAAAACTTAAGGTGCGTGTGTTTTTGTGCTTAAGATGCGTGAGTTTTGTGCTTAAAGTGCGTTGTGCTTAAAATGCGTGAGTTTTGTGCTTAAGCTACGTGTGTTTATGTTCTGAATGTATTTTGTTTGTGTGTTTAATGTGCGTTTGTTGTGTACTTAAAATGTGGTAATGTAATGCTTAATGTGAGTCCACCTGCACTAGCACGGGAAGCACCACCCGCACATGATCCCTTCCCTATATATATATATATATATATATATATATATATATATATATAGGGACGCACTCAGGTGCGAATAAGTGCCTAGGAAGGAAATGCGAACGAATCAGCGCGCGACACGTGTCCTGATCTAATAACTTAAAAAAAAACGCGGTGGCATTTTCGTAAATAATTGAACATCGAAGTGCAAGTAAAATATCTTATAAGTGCACCTATTTTCACCTATAAGTGCATGTAATTTTGCCTTGTTAGCATTCACTTTCCGTAACCATTCATGAACCTGGGTGTGCTTATAACTATATGTGCAACTATTTATAACTATAGGTGCAACTACTTATAACTATAGGTGCACCTACTTTCACCTATAAGTGCATGTAATTTTGCCTTGTTAACATTCATTGATCTGAGTTCAGCGGGTAGTAATACTCCTGAAAATCACTCGCAAACATTCATACACCTAGATGCAACTACTTATATCTATGTGTGCAACTACTTAGAACTATAGGTGTAACTACTTAGAATTATAAGTGCAACTAAGTATTGATGCTCAGTGTAAATTTTTACTTGCACCTATAATACATTTTACATGCACTTGTAATACATTTTACTTGCACTTCGATGTTCAATTATTTACGAAAATGCCACCGCGTTTTTTAAAAAAATCAGTGTTTCTCATCCATTAGATCTGGACACGTGGACGAACAGAATCCATTCCTATTTCGCGCCTGGGCGAGCCGTTCGCACCCGAGTGCAAGTATATATATATATATATATATATATATATATATATATATATATATAAATTCTGTTTTGTTTTGTTTTCTTTCTTTTTTCTCTCCTGTCTCACATTCTCTTTTCTAATCACACTTACAAAAGTAGCTCAAAAACAGCAACAAAAAATCAATTATTGTGAATGCTCTAAACCACACTGGCGCTCCTGTTCAAACGTCAATCAAGTAAATGCTTAGCTAATTTTGGCTAAAATTGCTTAACAAGTTACATCATTCAACTGCGTAACAACACCAAATATCAATTATTCATTGAATCACTGCTCTCATGACACAATACCTTGGAACTATTGGATGAGTCATTTTGGGTTCATTTTCACCTATTATGGCCCTTAAAACACTTTCAAAATTGTACTATAATGCAAATTATATTTTCATACATAAAATTTCAAAGTATATAAAATTGGCTTAAATCAATTATGTTAATTAAATAAATTACTATGAAAAATGACACCAAGCACCCAATCAACTAGAACCTAAATTATGAATTTGATGCAACCATATCTCATATGATAGAAAGCCGGAGCTACAAGTTGTGGACCAAGGGGAGGGGAAACAAATTGCAACATGTGTTAAAAAAAAAAAACAATAAATTTCCAAATATCACTAAGGGTATGTTTGGTTCGCATAAGATAATTGGAATCGGAATGAGAATCAAATATTTGGTAATGGTAATTAGTTTTGGTGAAAGTATTTTGCATGTTTGGTAATAAGGTGGAATTTGAATGAATATTATCAATATTGATGTTTGGTTATGTATGACCCTATGTCCCTATATATAATGAAAATAAACGTTTTAAAAATACAAAAATTAAAAATTAAGACAATTAATCTTAACATAATGACATTCAAAGTATCAATATGAACAACAAATTAAAAATTAAAACAAAAATCTAAAGGCACTAATCTAAAGATAAAAATTATATTACCAATAAGATGGAATGATACCTCTTTTTAAATTAGGAATTGCGGTTTTTAATTGAACTGATAATCAAATCCTATAATTGTGCTTTAAAAAGCTGTCAACTAATCAATAACTATGAATTTAATTCTCATTCTTAGTGTGTAAACTTATGAACCAAACAAACCCTAAATAGTGATAAATGCCATGTAGAACTTCTTCTTTTTTGGTTTCCTATCTCTATTTTTCTATTCTCTACCTCCATCTTTTTCGAAAGGATTCTCTCAATCTTTCCTATTCTCTTATTTGAAGTTTATTATTTTGAAATGAAAAGTGGAGAATAATAAATGGCATCTTAGTTTGGAATATTATTGTTTCCCCTCAGCGGTCTAAATCAGTTCGCAAGCTCACTCAGCACGCTACTTTTGACAAACAATTTTCTCACGTGGTCAGACCATCAGGGCCGGATTTTAGGTTTGTGTGGCCCTGTTCTGGTAAATAACTGAGGCCCTTCAAAATCTAAATTTTTAAAAGTAAGATATAGGAGTTTCGAACTTTTGACCTTCAAGTTAAAATACAATATATACACATTTATACCATCTCTTCATAGAACCTTTTTAAATTTATTGTAAACTTTTAATTTTTATTTCTAAACTACCTAGGTAAATATTAAATATTGGACCTCTAAAATTTGGGGCCCCTCTAAAATTGGGGGCCCTGTACGGTAGCCCAGCTTGCACAGCCTAAAATCCGGCCCTGAGACCATCATATATAAGCCCCAATCAACTCTGGAGCGATACAAGATACAACTATACAACGTTGTAAAAAGTGTCAGTTTTTTTTTTTTTTTTTTATTTTTTTAAACGAGAATTCGAGTAAGTCTGTACTCGCTATCGAAGGTAATCTTGTCTTTTGACTTTATTCGACAAATAACTACATGAAAGTAAACTAGTTTAGATCGATCATAGTTGATTGACTCAAATTAAAAAAGTAAATAAATAACTCACGGTAAATCAAATTTAAAATTTTGTGATTACCAAATCAACTATGACCACCGTAAAAAGTGTCAACTTCACCTTTATAAAGTTGGCCGTGATGTCACTGATGTGGAACCCATTTTGTCCCCATTTTACACTTCACTTCGCACGCCATTTTTCACCCAAACTAAAGTTTAATTTTTTCTTGACCGCACATTTAGTTTTTTACTCCCTAATTATTGCTTTATCACAAAGTGAAGCCATGTGTATATCTAGTACCTGTGATTATTAAAACGACTACCACAAGTCATTTTTAAAGTTTTTCCATTTTTTGACATCTAAATTTTGATCTCCCACACAAGCTTTTCTCCTGCTAAGTTGTGTCAAATGATCGATTTACTTGTCATATGTTTAGTTAATATTTTTCTCTTGTTAAATAGTGTTAAATGAGTGAGTTTACTTGTTATATATTTATTTAATTTAGAATTATTACAATAATAATAAAAATCTTGACCTGACTTAACCTACATCCCCTAAGATAAAGTTAAAAAAAAAAAAAAAAAACAATTTCTTCAAGTTATTTAGTTTATAATTATAATTATTATATTTATCAATGTGTCTTTATTTTTATGTAATTAATTATAAGTTAAAATTAGTACTGAGTATTTATTTACAACCTTTTATTATAATTATTATTAATCTTCAAAACTCCGTCGATCACATGCATACTGCATACTTTTCGTTTGGTTCTTCATTCAATTTTTGCTTAATTATTTCCTCATTGTTCAATAACTATTTTTTTTGAAATACTGGTGATTCTTTACAAGCTAGTATATGTTTTATACTTTCTCGACCAGCCATTTAAAATGGTAAGCAGGATGCCATCACAGTACATAGTATAACGAATTACAATATTAATTAATCTTTAAAAATGTATAATTATAAATAAGTAAATATAGATTTTGATTAAACCCCGGTAAATCGAACTTTGATGGTGGGGGCAATGATTTCACTGTTGCAAAAATCGCGCCTAAGCGCTAGGCGCTCTAGGCGGCTAGCGATTTTTTCAACATTGAATGATTCTTTAGGCTGAAAAAGATTGATAAAGTATATATAAAACATATATTACCTTGTAAAGAATCATGAGTGTTTCAAAAATATAGATTTTGATTTATATGCATGATAACCACCCTCCATGTTAGGATTGTGGATAAATCTGGACATTTGTAGATCTAACGGGATGAAAATAAGATTAATAAAATAGAGGGTGACGACTTAAACAAGCCAAATTCAAACTCTTAACAAATTTGTTTTTTTTTTTTTGTTTTTTTTTTTGTTTTTGTTTTTGTTTTTGTTTTTTTTTTTTTTTTTTTTTTTTTTTTTTTTTGAGTTATGAGGAAAATCCGTAAGGTTATGCACTATTTACTATCTAAGCTAGGCTTTGCTTGAATGGTTCCTATGCTCAACTAAGCACTTTTTAACAATTAGAAGTACATCCTTTTCTTTTATTGTTTTAATTTTTCCCCAAACCTAATACACAATAAGATAAAAATATATATGTCGGAGAAAATGATATATAGTTTACAAGATTTAAAACATAAGTCGACGATAAAGATTTATAATATAAGGATTGAGTGTATGTGTTATTAATTATTACCTCATTATTCGAAGACTATACATATAATTTCCCCTATTAATTAATAACTAGTATTTTCACCCGTGCGATGCACGGAATGGAATTGTTGTAATATATTAAGAA